AATCTGGCAAAGGAAATAGACTTCCAAGAAATCCAAGAAGCTCAGAGAGTACCAAAAAAGTTGGACTCAAGAAGAAACACACCAAGGCATATCATAATTACATTAGCCAAAATTAAAATGAAGGAGAGAATCCTAGAAGCAGCAAGAGCTAAGGGGACAATCACCTACAAAGGAGTCCCCATCAGACTGTCAGCAGATTTCTCAAAAGAGACCTTATAGGCAAGAAGGGGCTGGAAAGAAATATTCCAAGTCATGAAATCTAAAGACCTACAACCAAGATTGCTCTATCCAGCAAAACTTTCATTTAGAATGGAAGGACAGATAAGGTGCTTCTCAGATAAGATCAAATTCAAGGAGTTCATCATCACCAAGCCCTTATTATATGAAATGTTAAAGGGACTTATCTAAGAAAAAGAAGTTAAAGAAACATGAACAGTGAAAGAACAACAAGCTCACAGTTATTAACAACCACACCTAAAACGAAAGCAAACTAAAAGAACAGCTAGATCAGGAGTGGAAATATAGAAATGAAGATCTCAAGGAGGGTTAGCAACAGGGGAGTGGGAGGAGGAGATGGGGGGAGAAGGTACAGAAAATAAGTAGCATAGACAGTAGATAGAAAATAGATGGGGGGGCAAGAATAGCATGGGAAATATAGAACCTAAAGGACTTGAGACACATGGACATAAACTAAAGGGGGGTAATGGTGGGGATGGGGGGGGCAGGGTGGAGGGAAATGAAGGGGGGAATAGAACAACTGTAACAGCATAATCAATTTAAAAAAAATAAATTAAAAAAAAAAAGAACCTGAAACGCCAGTTCGAAAGAACCTATGCACCCCAATGTTCATAGCAGCACAATTTGCAATAGCCAAGTCCTGAAAGCAACCTAAGTGCCCATCAGTAAATGAGTGGATCAAAAAACTATGATACATTTGCATAATAGAATGCTATGCAACAGAAAGAAAGAAGGAGCTCCTACGCTTTGCGACAGCGTGGTTGGAACTGGAGTACATTTTACTAAGTAAAATAAGCTAGGCATTAAAAGACAAATACCATATGACTTCACCTGTAAGTGGAACCTAATCCACAAAACAAACAAGCAAGCAAGATATAACCAAATCATTGAAATAAAAATCAAACTGACAGTAACCAGATGGTATTGGGGAGAGAGATAATGGGGGAAAGAGAGGAAGGTCCATCAAGGATCATGTATAAAGGACACATAGACAAAGCCAAAAGGGTTAGGTCTGAGGGTGTGAGGTGGTTATGGGTAGGGTGCAGGGCCACAGTGGGGTAAAAATTGAGGCAACTGTACTTGAACAACAATAAAAAAAGAATAAAATACTAATAAATTTAATACAAACAGTGCAAGATTATAAAGACACCCTGTGTTTGTGGATTGGGAAACTTAATTTTGTTAACATGGGAAAACTCTCCAATTAATCTAGATTTCATTTTTATGAAAATCCCAGTGGGCTTTTCAATAAATTTCAGTAAATGAGTGGATCAAAAAACTATAATACGGCCCTGGCTGGTGTAGCTCAGTGGATTGAGCGTGGGCCTGCGAACCAGACAATCGCAGTTTGATTCCCAGTCAGGGCACATTCCTGGGTTGCAGGCTGGTTCCCTGCAGGCCAGTTCCCAGCAGGGGATGCACGAGAGGCAACCTTACATTGATGTTTCTCTCCCCCTCTCCTTCCCTTCCCCTCTAAAGATAAATAAATAAAATCTTTAAAAAAAAAAGCAGAGATACATTAAAAAAAAAACCAAAAACTATAATACATTTACACAATGGAATTCTATGCAGCATAAAGTAAGAAGGAGCTCCTACCCTTTGCAACAGCATGGATGGAACTGGAAAGCATTATGCTGAGTGAAATAAGCCAGGCAGTGAAAGACAAATACCATTATGATCTCACCTTTGATAGGAACCTAAGCAACAAAACAAACAAACAGGCAGGATATGGCCAAAGACCCTGAAATGGAGAGCAGGCTAGTGGTGACCAGAGGGCAGAAGGGAGGGGATTTCAGGGGAAGGGTTTGCAGGAGCAAGTGTGAAGGACACATGGACAAAAACTAGGGGAGTGGAAATGGGAGGAGGTGAGGAACACTGGCAGAGGTGGGCTGGGATGGGAGTAAAGGACAGAAAACTGTACTTGAGTAACAAAATAAATTTTTTCAATTAAAAAAGTTGACATGCTTATCTTAAAATTCGTTCTTCTTATCATTTTGTAAGTACTCAGAGGTGGAAGGAACTCAAAATAGCCCCCAAAAAGCATTGTTTGTAACAGAAAAACAGAAACAAATCTGAGTTTCCTTAGGTGATGAAACCAATCAATCAGTGCACATCCATATAATAAAATACTGTGTATGTATTAAAAGCTAGAGCTCACAAGCTTAATGTAAACATTGCTACGTCTATATTGCTTATTCATTCAACGAATATTTGTAGAGGAAATTGTGTTAAGGAAAATGCTCCATTTGTTTGGTCTTTTTATATGAGGGTATCTTCATGCATATGTTTGATATATACACAGAAGTTGTTGGAAGGACCACAAGAAACTATTATTCATAGTGGTAATCTCTTGGGAGAGGAACTTAAGAGTATTGTCACTGTCCGTGCTTTTGTACTGTTTAATGTTCAATATGTTGGTAAATTTTTCATTTAAAAGTTAACAAAATCAAATCATATATGCAAGCATACAACATAGAAAGGATACGCCCTAGCTGGTGTGGTTCAGTGGATTGAGCAATGGCCCGAAAAACAAAGGGTTGCTGGTTTGATTCCCAGTCAGGGAACATTCCTGGGTTGCAGGCCAGATCCCCAGTGGGGTTGCACAAGAGGCATACATATAGTGACGTTTGTCTCCCTCTTTTTCTCCCTCCCTTCTCCTCTGTCTAGAAATAAAAAAATAAAATCTTTTTTAAAAAGAAAGGGTATAAAGGAAAACAATATTATAGCAAGAAGAAAATTAGCATAGAATTAATGTCATTACACTCTATTCCACAAGAAAGTGTAAGCTACATTTATAGAAACAATGGAATATTACCATATCCATTTTTAAAAGATTTTATGCATTTATCTTTTAGAGAGGGGAAGGTCGGGAGAAAGAGCAGGAAACACCAATGTGTGGGTGCCTCTCATGCTCCCTATACTGGGGACCTATCACACAACCCAGGCATGTGCCCCAGACTGGGAATGGAACCAGCGACCCTTTAATTCCACCAGCACTCAGCCACTGAGTCACACCAGCCAGGCCCTTATCCATTCTTTAAGAGTTTCTAACTACCTGTTGGTTTAGGTCAAAATGAATATTTTTCAGATCAAATTTACCCTGACTTAAATGCCCATAACAAGTACTTTGCAATCTGTGCCTTAGCTGTAATATAGAAATGTCAGCTTGGTAAAGACTATACAATGAACAATCTTATTTTTCAAAGGATGACTCTGAAAAATGCACATCTTGGTATTCCCAAAGCAACTCATATAGTCCATGCATACAGTAAGCCTCCAATAACTACCTCCAGATTAATGCTGTCCAGTTGCTAGAAGCCACATTCTGTGCCATGCCTGCATTCTTTTCAATGCCCAGACCACTGCCAGGGCAGCACAATAGACATGACGCACAACTGGAGGCATCTAGAAATAAAAGGGGTAGCTAGCGGAAACACTATGGATTCTCGATTGCAGAAAAGGATAGTTCCCCAGTCCCACAGAATGAGGAACTGTCCCATTCACTAATGAAAAATTTGTAAAAATTACAAAAATTAAAGAGCTCAAACTCCTCACCCAAGTTCTGAATAAATGTTTTTTTAGCTAATCACAATTTAACATGCCACTTCTTAAATAGGATGGGTAACAAAGTAAAGGTCTTAACTATATAACACAAAATGTATTTGCACACAAAATCACGCTGCTTCACAGATATGTAGACTTGTCTTCTTCTGGGAATTCAAACACGGGGGGAGCCCACCACCCACAGCAATAGGGTCTCTCTGCCACCAAACCCCCATCCTCAAAATTTTTCTTAAACAAAGTAATTTCAAAATTGTTCGCTTAAAATTAATTTTTAAATGTGTTCATTTTCTCCCTCTCAACCTCTACTATCTATCTATCTAATGGTATCAGAAGATCTGTGACCTTATTACCATAATCCTAATGATTTGTGCTCTAAAAGATTCTGGAGACTTTTTCTACCTCAGGACTGTTGTGGGATTGAAATGAGAAAGACCTGTGAGAAGGAAACAGAAACCTAGAAACCATTAATTTTTCCAGCAACGACCCATAACCTAAATATTCACAGGAAAAGGAAACATTATCAGCAAAGCCACAGCCTTGAGCAAATCTGACTTTTTAAAAGAAAGTTTTGTTACTTGGTAGACTCACCATATTCTTGTGTTTACATTATTTGGAATTTGTCCATGGTTTCCAAGAAAAGAACACCAGGACACCCACCCTATTAAAACTGTCAAAAGTGTTCTCACAGTTCGCAGGTTATTTTTTGTACCTGGCTACCGAAACTGTGCTTCTTGGTTTAGTTGAGACTTTTGGGATTTTATTTATTTATTGTGCACACTCTCTTCCTGGCTGGAAGCGGAGGTGGTGTGTGGGGGTTGGGTACATTGAGCGCCACCCAGCACCCCCTCCAGACGGAGCGTCTGGACAGTGGTTTTCTATTCTTTTTTTCTCTTTTTATGTGAATTTATTTGTATTACTGGGTAATCCCACAGATAATACATGAAGCGTTTCCCTCATAAAAAGGACCACACATAAGGCCAGTGCGACCAGCCCTGTTCCTAGCCAGTCACAAGGCCGCATGCGCAGGGTCCTCCTTGACCCAGTCAGCATAGGACTAGGAGCCTGACGACCCTGAGAACTGCCTGCCCGGCACACCCCGCGCAAGAGATTCCCGTCACCCAGCGCCCCGGAAGCCGCCCCCAGGCTGGCAGGAGCAAGTGCTCTGTGGCACCTAAGCTGGCCCCGCAGCTCCTCCTTACCCGCCGAGGACAGTGACCCTGAGCCAAGAAAACCCTGCCCAACAGCGCCATGGAGGAAGCAGGACACGACACAAAAACAGCCCGCAGCTACCAGGCTTGGCTAGCACTGGACCGAGGCTGGAGGCGTCTCTGACATCAGGGGGAGGAGTTGGGGCGCCTAGGCGGTGTTGGAGTAGGGCTGGGCGGCAGCTGGGGGACGGCGGCGGAGGGGTGGGCGGAGGCTGGGCTTGACTAGGAGCCTGCTGCGGCGGGCATTAGGATCTCTAGTGGACCTGGCTGCCGGATATCTGCACCCAGTACTCTGAGCTGGACGCTTCAAGGCTAGGCTCTCAGAGGCTCCTGCTCTTTCTCTCTGTTGTGTGTCCTAGTAGGGTACATGGAGAGCAAGACCAATGAAAATGGCATTGGTCTGGTCAAAATAGCATAAAATATATAAACAAGATGGAGTCACTCCTGACGACCAAGATGGTTGCCAGTCAGTTATGACACTTTTATTAAAAAGGGAAACTACCTAAGTCATGTTAGACACATCTGGCAAGAAGACATACCCAAGATAATCATCATACGTGTCCAAAATATCCTGGTCTACAAAGTGGAACCACCCATAAATAGGCTCCGGGGGAAATTCCCCACTTGCCATGAGGAATGCCAAGGCCTTTATCAAAAAACTCAGAAGGATGGAGTACACCACTTTCAAGGGTATAACTGAAGCAGGCTTTCAGGCCACTGCTTAGACAGCTGAGCTCCACACACCAGAGTGCTGCTCCACGCCAAGCTGATCTCCCTTGGCATCAGCCTCCAGGGGCTCTGCACTGCTGGCTCCGGAAGTCCTTTCTTGCAAGACGCTGGCAACTCTTTTGTCTACAAGCTGTCTCCCAGACCTGCTGACAGAGACTCTGGAACCCAGGTTCATTTTTCCCCATTAACTGCTGTGTGTGTCCCCGCCCATTTCGTCTCTTAAATTGTTAGTGTGTAAGTAGGCTATTAATACATTTTGCCATTCTACTTTGAGTGATCCCGCATTCAACAAAAGCTAAGTGAATAGCATAGTTACCTTGTGTTGCTCTTGTCTATTTCTTCATGCTAGGCAATTGGTTAGCAGAGCAGTTGCCTGGCTGACTTACAAGAAAGACTCTCTCGTGAACATGTGGCGACAGGGTGCTGAGTTGATGTCTCCTACAGACTTTGGTTTTAGCTTGGGTGCAGGACTTGAAACCCCTCCCGCCATTTGTATTCTGCCACAGGTTGGGTTCATAAGAGTCTACAAGTGTATTGAAGGCCCTCTGAGCATGTATATCCTCCAGAAAAGCAACAAACCAACTAATTCTGCTAATTGTTCTGGGCCCATCATATCAGTGAAATTTAGGAATTCTGCTGTCCAGTACATGCTTTTTGTGTGTGTTCTGTTTAAGAAAAAAATGTACTTATTTCTTGATTATGTTTTCTTTTAAAATGTTTATTTTACATTCATATTTAGATCTATGATCCATATGGAGGTTTTGTTGTTTTCTGTATGTGTGTGAGCTATAGAGTCAGTCATCATTTCTTCTGCAGTGTTTACCAATATCCCCAGGATCCTTACTGGAAAAACAACCTTTCCGTCATTGCTCAGTCTGTATCATTACTTTTGAAAATTAAATTGCTTATACCTGTGGGTCTCTTTTGGGTCTTTCTATTTTGATCCATTTGCCCATATTCTCTATCCTTGTGCCAATAGAACAGACTTAAAACTGTAACTGTATAATACATTTTATTATCTGGTAGTGTAAGTACTTCAGCTTTGTTCTTCAAAATTGCTTTGATTATTCTCAGCCTATGCATCTCCATATATATTTTAGAATCTATTAATTTCCATTTAAAAATCTTCTGAGACATTGAAATTATATTGAATCAAATTTGGGGAGAAATGACATCTTAATAATCCATGAATGTGGCATATTTATTTGGGACTTAATTTTTGTTGATAATGTATAACAGCAATATTTTATATCACATCTTTTAAAAGATTTATTACTGAGTATTTATGACTTTGGTGCTATTATCTATTTTATATATGTAATTTTCTACTTATTTTTCTGGAATAAAGGATACAATTAAATTCCACATGAAGAATTTGTATCCAGTAACCTTATTAAAATCAGTTAATTCAAGTAGTTTTCCAGTAGATTCTTTTAGATTTTCAGTATTCACAAGCATATATTTTGTGAATAAGATTAGTGTGTTCCTTCCTTTTTAATCCATATGCCTTTTCTTTTTATCCTTTACTGCATTGGTAGAGTATCTAATGCCATGTTGAAAATAAGCAGCAACAGCAAATATGTCCTTGCTTCATTCCTAATGCTTGTATTCTGCCACAGGTTGGGTTCATAAGAGTCTACAAGTGTATTGAAGGCCCTGTGAGCATGTATATCCTCCAGAAAAGCAATAAACCAACTAATTCTGCTAATTGTTCTGGGCCCATCATATCAGTGAATTTGCCCTAATGCTAGGGCAAATGTTCAATAATTCACCTTAAGTATAATGTAAGGTACAGTCCTTTCATAAATTGTCCTTTATTGGATTAAAGGTGTTCCCTCTATTCTTACTTTGCTGAGAGTTACTTTTTTTCCTTCACGAATGGATGTTGAATTTTATCAAATGCTTTTTTTTGCAACTATCTATACAATCATAGATCTCTCTCTCTCTCTCGTTCTCTCTGTTATTCTCGTGATAACACCCAACCTTCCATTTCTGGAATAAACTCCACTTAATTATGCTTATTTGTTTTATGTGTCACCTGAGTCAATTTGCTAGTTTCGTATTTCGAATTTTTGCGTTTATGTTCATAACAGAGTTTGGTAAACCAGCCTTTATAAGTGACATTTTTTTCTTCTCATTACAGTACAGAATGCTTTTGAAAACCAGAACTTCTGTCCTGCCTGGTGTTGCTCAGTGGACTGAGTGCCAGGTGTGAACCAAAAAGGTCCCCTGTTCAATTCCCAGGCAAGGTATATGCCTGGGTTTCAATCCAGGTCTCCAGTTGAGGGCGTGGGAAAAGCATCCAATCAACATCTCTCCCACCGATGTTTCTCTCCTCTCTTTCTCTCTCCCCACAAATAAATAAATAAGATATTAAAAAAAAAGAAAACCAGAACTTCTACGATTAGGAGTTTGCTCTAGAGTATTCATTTTGTTGTGTGCAGGATGTGAAATGGATTAGGGGGCTCTTGGAGTAGGAGCAGAGCTTGCACCAATTAGATCCAAGTGAAAATGGAAAGAATTCAGCTACTGATTAAAGTATAACATTGTGAAACAGAGGAGGTTGATTTGAATTTTAAAAAGTGAAAATGATGAGTTGACAGGTTGAAATCCTTATCTTCACCCTAATCATCATCACCATCATTAGGATCCATACAAAGGAATGAATGCAATGTAAGGAAATTGCTAACACATGCAATTACTTAAGTGGCTAGTGAGTGTACTAAGAAACTTTACTAAGTTTCTTTACATTGTTTTTTATTTAACTTCTAAAGCCATTTCCATTCCCAATCAGAAAATCAGATAATCTAATATTGGCAACAACCTCAAAATGGGATCCATACTCCCAAATCCTTAAGTACAGCGCACTTTCATAGAGATTGCGTTACTCCCTCCTAGCCACAAGGTGGCGACGTGGCACCGTGCCGCTGTGCGTCTCTGTTTCCTACGCTGGCGCGATCCCGGGAGCGTGCACGTGACGGAGCCCGCAAGCTGGCAGACGTAGTGGCAGCGCCTTTTCGTTCACAAGTTGTGGCGACGCACGTCGCCCAGACACTGAGACAGGATCCATGTGGAAGCTCCTGTCTGACGCGGGCCCAACTCGAGGTGAGGAGGGAGGGAGGGAAGTGATCGAGGGTCAGTTTTCCTAGAACACTCCCTGGTAGAGTGTCTGAGGAACACTTCCGGCTCGGTCCCGACCGCCGTGCCCTTTTCCGGCAGCCGCTGGAAGCAGAATGTTGGGCGCGAGGGTAGCCTCCTACGCTGGGGCGAGGTGGTGGGATGTGGGGGTGGGGTGTGGTCCTGAGAGTCCACAGCACAGTTCTCAGAGGTGGCTGGGCCGCTCCTGTGACTGCTGCCCCTACAGATTGGCGGCCCGCCGATCAAGTATCTGGCATCAGCCGTGGCGGGTCCACCCTTGAGGAGCAGCTGGCGCTCACTGTGAGAAGCTGAAGAGACGGGACGTTAGTGTTCGGAACACCTGGGACGAGGGTGTGTTGTGCGCGTCCAGGCGACGGGGCTGGGACACACTGCCTGCACGCTGCTCTGGGTTCCCCGTTGTCCCACAGCGTGTTTCTCATCTTCTGCCACTTCCAGTTCCCGTGTTACTCAACGTTTTTCATAACCGTTGTTTCACTTTCTATTTTCCCGAGGGACTGTCGGGTCCGTTTATCAAGTTCCAGAGGGAGCACATTGACCTTAAACTGCATGAGGCCAATCGCGTTTGCACGGGTTGCTACAGCAGGATTTTTAATGCTTTAAATTTAGATGTGAACTAGAGGTCTTTCACATCTCCACAGTGTGATTTTCCAGTCAGTCTTCTGTGCCCTTCAGTGAAGCTTTACTGGAAAAACACTTTTCACTTATGAGTGCATTGTTAACATTCAAGTAGCAAAATAAGCATATTGCATTGAAGTATTTGTTTCATGTACACACGTGTACATGTGTATACACGTGTGCATTTATCAGTTTTCTCTTTAATTCCAGAATCTTACCGACTTCTGACGGGTGTGGAGTACGTGGTTGGAAGGAAAAACTGTGACATCCTCATTGAAAACGATCAGTCCATCAGTCGCAGTCATGCCATCTTAACCGCCCGCTTTTCTGCCACCTGCCAGGTGTGTTACTGGTTGTAATTCATTGATTCTCAGGGGTCGGATCACAAAAGATTGTCAGGCTGTGTGTGGGAGAATCTGCAGGGCCTTTAACATTAGGGTTTTTTTTTTAATGTTAAAAAATTTTTGCAGTGGTACAAGTAGTAGTTGCCTACTTTGATACTTGAAGTTTCTGTTCCAGTATTTTACAGTTCATCTTAATGATTCAGAAACTCCGAGGAAGAATATATTTAGATTTATTAACTTAAGCATTCATTGAATGCTTACAATGTGCCAAGCCTGGGGAAGCACCTAAAGCAGGTGCTCAGGTTTCCTGCTTTAAAGGGTTTGTGCAGCTCTGTGAACGCAGATATTTCCTCACACAAGATGGGAGTCCCCCAAACAGTAGGAACTGATTTGTTTTATTTGCAAAGATAACTGATGCTATGCCCCACAGCTTCTTTGAATGGCGTTGAGTTTGTTTGGGTTGGTTGGTTTCAATTACAATGGTTGATAAAAGTACTAAAAATACCTACAAACAACTGTGCTGGTGATAATGCTGGTGGTAATGAGGAGAAAAACTATTTTTAGCAAGTACTATATATTAGCAGATGCTGGATCTGTTCAGTAATACTTAGGTTGTGTGTCTATTCTTAATGGGTATAGAAAAACATTGTTGAATATTACTGACTGGTAAAACACTTTAAATTATTTGTTGTTTTTTCCCCAGAGTCAAACACCTCAAATCGCTATATTGACAATAAAAGATAAGTCTAAGTATGGTACTTTTGTTAATGAGGAAAAAATGCAGAGTGGCCTTTCCCAAACATTGCTGACAGGGGATAGAGTTACTTTTGGAGTATTTGAAAGTAAATTCAGGTAAGAATTTTAAAAATTAGTGTCAGAAATGGAGCACTTTATTTTGCATTAATCAAATTCTAAATGACATGGAAATCTCATTTAGTTCCTACTTAGCACAGTGGTGTACTTTATACCACAAGGGTCAGTGGGTCCTGTCGGTCATAGGAAGTGACCAGAGGGAGAAAGAGTTTGAGTAAGCCCTGGGAACCTTGATTTTACATAGGTAAAAGTATAATGTTAACTGTGGTTATTGCTTTTTCTTAATTGCAACTGCAGATAGAGGGAATGATGATTTTTATTAGTTAGAAAGTTTAGTTACACATAAAAAATTAAAGTAACACATGTGATGTTACCCTCAAATTTAAAGTTCTTTAAGTTGTCATCTCTGTATCCATAACAATTTCATGTAATTCATTTTTATTCACAGAGTGGAGTATGAGCCTTTGGTTGCATGTTCTTCTTGTTTAGATGTCTCTGGGAAAACTGCTTTAAATCAAGCCATATTACAGCTCGGAGGACTTACTGTAAACAGTTGGACAGAAGAATGCACTCATCTTGTCATGGTAGCAGTTAAAGTTACCATTAAAGTAGGTTATATGCCTTGTTATTATGTTAAAATGAGTTCAGTGAGTTTAAGCTTACTCACCCACTATACACAGTTGTTTTTAAAGTCATTTAATTTAAACTCATCAGAGCTATTGTAAATTTATATATACTGTCCCCATGCCTTTGTATACTATTTAGGCTGGAATATCTTTTCGGTAACGTGTTTTGCTATATGATACAACAGAAGCACATAAAAGTGTATTTCAGATTTTATTTAGCATTTTTAAAAATGGTTTATGTTATCTGTTCACCAGGGTTAACAGTGTATACCTTGTGTTTTCAACCTAAGAGCAAGGTGATTAGAGAGCAAGCTGCCCGTCTTCAGAATTAGTATCTCCTGTCTCATCAAGTTGTCTTTCTCAGGTCTCTGTCATCTCATGCTCTTCTTTTTGATTTAAGACATTAATCACAAATACTTCTTAGAAGTTCCCGTAGTTTACTATTACCCTAATTACTCTTAACAGTATACAGATTTTAGGTATGTGCCTTTAGAAAATGTTGATTATTCATTAAAACAGTGATATATTTGGACATGTTTTCAGAGTCTTGTATCTTCATCAGGTTCACCATATTTTGCCATGTATGAGCAGTGTTTTTGCTTAAATTTTTTAGGGAAAAATAAGGATGCACATTATATTTGGGTATAATGATTATACAGTCTCATGTATAATGTGCACAAAAACATGGGTGTGCATTATATACAGCAAAATAAGGTAATTTTATCCAAAGCTTATTGAAGAAATGGGGAGGTGGTTCATCTTTTTTTAAATAGGATCATAGATATGTAGGATTGTTTTAGGTTAATATCTGTAGTGAAAAGCAACAAATAATGTAGATTCTTTTATTAGATGATAGAAACATCTTTTAGTATCAAACATAACTAAATTAGAGTATGTGTATTATAGCTACTAAGGTATCATAGAGAGCTTGCTGCTCAGATTGATTGAACCTCATGTCAAACTTGTACCTTGGTGGGGTTATCTCTGACCAAGGATCATGTCATCTTTGCAAGTTTATGAAATTGATTTATCAATTCAATGAGTACCGATTTATGCTGTTACACTGACAGATAATAAATCAAAATGTTCACTTACTAGTTTACAGTGGGAATGCACCCTTACAGTAATCCGAATATTTATGTGTGGACTCTTAAGATATTAAGGTACCTGAGAAACGTAAGAGGTAATTGTGCCCTTGCTTGGTGGGGATATAATATGAGCTGGGTCTGTGACAGACATGGAAACTATACCCATTCACCAGAGCACACACTGTTCTAAGTGATTGATTGGGGCCGGATGGCCACCATACGGCTCTGCCTTTTAGAGTCTTGGATATACGTCAACAAAGGCTTGCAGAGCTAGCTGTCCTTTTCACTATTTCTGATCAATCATGCCAAAAAAGAAAACCTTGGTTATTTTTTTGGTAAGTTTTCCAAAAGTACAGATTAGCCTAGTTTTAAAAATCATTGAATGTTAGAAAAAACAGAACTTAAAAGGACATTCAGTTCCATTTTAATTTTCTGAGGAGTAAATTGAGGCACCAAACAATAAATCCTTTGTTCAGGATTACATGTTTTGAAGCTTACTCAGTCCAACTTTTGCTTCATACAAGAAGTCAGTTATTTCATTTTCATTGGTGTCTTTCAGATTCTGTTCTTGAGAGACATCCCAAATTGCTAACTCATATTTAGGTAAACCTCATGTTATTAAAAGCATATTTAAATTCTTTAGCTGGATTAATTCCTAGAATTATGCTGAATCTTCTTTATTTTCATTGCCGGCAATGGTATTTTCTAACCTTCTTCAAATTTTGTGGATATGCCTTATTTGAGGCTGATAGCTTAATTCGCTTACTACCTGAAGCCCCCACCGCATTTGTATATTCTTATTTTGAACTTTTACCCAACCCCAAATAGTTATTCCTTTGTTTACTTTTTGAAAAGATTTTATTCCGTAGCACAAGCTGTTGGAAAGGCATTTAGGCTGAAAAGTCTTCTCTCACGTTTATCTCTTAATACTGTCTTCTCTAGGGCAGATGTTACATTGCCTTAATCCTAACTTATACTTTTTTTTTAGCATTTTAATGTTTTTAAAATTATAATACATTTTAATTGACTTATATTTTATGTTGTTCGGTCTCCCCAAATAAATGTTTAAATTAATACTATAATTGGTAGGTTTTATAACTTAGTAATTATATAAAAATTTATACACTAAATTAAGCTGTGACTGAACTGACTTATAGATTGTGGCTTCTTTGTAGAGAGATGAGAGAAGAAGAATAGAATAGCCCCTTTGAAGTTTATAACTTAAAACTGTTCTTTAAAATAAGCTAGCATGAGTATTCACATATGTTTTCTTCTTTTTAGACAATATGTGCACTCATCTGTGGATGTCCGATTGTAAAGCCAGAATATTTTACTGAATTTCTTAAAGCAGTTCAGTCCAAGAAACAGCTTCCACAAATTGAAAGGTATACTATGTACCTTAAATATAATAAAATATGATATAAAGTATGATAGCACTAATTTTATTTAGGTTAATTTCCTCATTAATGACTGTTAGAGAATGTAATGTTATAGTTCAGTTTTATTAGTGGAGATTTTTGTTAAAAATGTTAAGAAAGGGTCCCTAAATTCTTTGTTGGTTATTTCTTATCTTGATAAAACAGTGTTACATATGTGCCAATATTGAGAGAAACACACTGAAGGACAGTTATAGCATAGAGGGCCATTAGCAGAGCACATGTACCAGTGACAGGTTTCCAGCACATGGACACTGCCTGGACTGTGTAATGCAGCAGCAGCCTGTTCCACAAACACATGGTCTTAGAGGAAATAGTAATAGCACCAGGGCCTGGGGATGGAGCTTGTTTCTCCTGAGACTAATACTTGTCCTGCTGAGTATTTAAGTATTTAAAGAGGTTACTATTAGTGTAAGTGTTATATATTTTAAATAATAGTATATACAGAGTCTAAGCATATTGCCTGACATCATAATAGTGCTTGTTAAAAGAGATATTGTTACTAATTACAGTATCTGGGAAGATTTATCATTGCTTTCTTCTCTTTTTTTCTCTCCTTTTCTCCTCTTCCTCCTCCTCCTCCTCCTCTTCTTCTTCTTCCTCCTTCTTCCTTCTTTCTTCCCCTCTCTCTCTCTTTCCCTTTCCTCTTCCCTCCTTCCTTTCTTGGGTTGGCCAAAAATGTTTTTTGTTTTTTTTTCATTAAGATGACTGTAGTAGCACTTAGTTGTCTTTAACTTCATTCAAAATGGTTCTGTTAGATAATATTGTGACAGTTGTCCTATCAGCTTGCATTTTTAAAAACATCAAAATTGCTGATTTTTTTGCGTGGCCATTTTAATGTTGAAGATGGAAGAAGATATGCATATTTTCAGCATATTATGCTTTCTTCTTTCAAGGAAGGTAAAAACACAACTGAAATGCAAAAAATGATTTGTACAGTATCTGGAAAAGGTAGCTGTGATTGATGGAACATGTCAGAAGTGGTTTGTGAAGTTTTGTGTGGGATATTTCTGACTGCACAATACTCCACAGTTGGGTACACCAATTGAAGTTGATAGTAATCAAATTGAGACATTAACTGAAAACAATCATCATTATACCATGTGGGATATTTGACAGTCAAAATATCCAAATCAATAAAGTTATTGGTGAAAATGAAAAATATGTCTTGTTTTATGGGTAAATCATATGGACTTTTTGGCTAACCCAATATTTGGATGCTTTGCTAAATTTCTGAAACTCAAGATATAGGATATGCATAGTATTAGTAATGTTTGAAGTAGTATAAACTGGTTGAGGAGGAAGATACTGGATTTTTTTTCTCAGATTGCATGGTTAGCTTAAAATGCTGGTAGCTAAAATGTTGGGTGTTTTAATCATCTTTACATAAGAGCACGCTTTGTAAAATATCAGTCTATATGTAATGATATATTGACTATAAGCTTATTTCTATAGGACAACTTCAAATATTTGAATAGATTAAAAATATGCAGCATTTTTTAGGTTAAGTGTTTCATTACTAATTTTGAAGTAATAAAAGTATTAATTTTCATTCAAACTATAAGCTGCTTTACCCAGTGAGGGATTTTGAGGGGACTATTTATACCTAATAATATCTATCTGCTTTTGTTTTACTTTTTGAAAGATTTTCTTTATTTTTAGAGAAAGGGGAAGGAAGGGAGAAAGAGAAGGAGAGAAACATCAATGTGTGGTTGCTTGTCATGCACCCCCATCCAGGGACCTAGCCCACAACCCAGGCGTGTGCCCCTGACTGGTTATCAAACTAACGACCCTTTGGTTCACAGGCCAGTGCTCAATCCACTGAGCCGCACCAGCCAGGACAGTATCTGCTTTTCAAATAACTGAAAATCAGATTTTTATTTTTGTTTTTAATTTTCATTTGAGAGCTTTCTTGTATCTTATAATCTGATTAACACAGAATGTAATGTTTTTGGACTCTGGAAAGAGATCCTCAGACTTTACAGTAGATGATTCTTAACCTTTTTTGAGTTCTGGACCCTGTGAGAACGTAAACTTCACTTACATATTCCCAACTTAAATGGCATTTCAGTAGAGTCACATTGTCCCTCAAAGCTTGTTTATGAACCTCCTTAACGGAGCTAATAAATCTTATAAATAACCACCCTTATTACAGATAATAAACCATTGTTAATTTTAGATTACTTACGAGTGTCTGATAGACTTCTACTTCTAAAAATATGAGTGTTTCATGGTCTTAGAGATTTTACAATTAGTCATTGATTCCTTCTTATTGTTCAGATTCTCAGGTATTTTTGTCTTTAGGTGCCAAACCTAACGTCAAAATTATGCTAAATAATTTTTTTCTGGCTTCAATTTATGACTTTATTAACTTAGAAGACTACACTAAAACATTCTTGCCATAAGATTGTTTGGTAACCTCTAATTCATTGTTAACCAGGAAAGATACCATGTTTGATGGTGGCAATTGATAATCAAATTTTTAATATTACTTAAAAATACATAGCTGTTCTGGAACCTAATTAACAAAACAAACAAGCGAGCAAAATATAACCAGAGACAATGAAGTTAAGATCAAATTGACAGTAACCAGGGGAGAGGTGAGAGGGGATAATGGGGGGAAAGAGGAAGGGTTTTCATGAACATGTATGAAGGGTACATGGACAAAACCAAAGGGGGAAGCAGGATCAGGGTGGGAAGGGGGGATGGCTGGGGTGGAGAGGATGGAATGGAGACAACTGTACTTGAATAACAATTTTTAAAAAATTTTAAGTACATAGTTTTTTCCTGAATTGATTCCTACTCCTAGTGGGATCCATCTGATATACTTGTTGAAGACTTGTTTGCTTACTCAACTGTTTAAAAAGTTATATTTGAGTAGCAGGATGGGTTACAAAAGGGATATGAAATAAATTGCTGCAACTTTTTTAAAAAGATTTTATTTATTTTTAGACAGGGGAAGGGAGGGAGAAATAGAGGGAGAGAAACATCAGTGTGTGGTTGCTTCTTGCACAAACCCTACTGGGAACCTGGTCCACAACCCAGGCATGTGCCCTGACTGAAATTGAACAGGCGACCCTTTGTTTCACAGCCCATGCTCAATCCACTGAGCTACACCAGCCACGGCAAATTGATGCAAGTTTTTAATTACATAATTATCTCCTCTTTTAGTTCTGTAAAAAGCATCGTTACTAGTCCTGGATTTGATTTAAGAAGGCATACTCCAATATTTTTACCTCACAAAAAGTATTGTTCTTGTGGTACAGTTAAGAGTTATGTCTGTACCTCTGCGCTGTTACCAAGAAATGGAGAAGACCAGTTTAAGCTTCCTGCACCAACCTAGTGTGTGGTATCTCATTTTCCTGTCATCAGAGTACCAGCATAGGTGGAGTCAGTTTTAGAAGACTCCATTTAAAATGAGAGTTTAATTTTAATACTCTAAACTGTGATAAAGTAAGTTTGCTCAGTTGGTGTAATGCAGGAAGTTGAGTTCAGGAATTTCGACTGTTGGTTCAGATAAGCTGAAATATCCACAAGGAGGACTGGGTGAAATAGGCATTGCCTTTATGATTTATATTGTAGGGAACTTTGATGGCAGCAAGTCAGCAAGCAGGATAGCACACTCCTGTGTTTGAGACTTGTTTTAAGGGGTCCCAGGTGGGGATACATGTCCTACACATGACTGTAAACATTACCTTAGTGTAAAGAAAAGGTCAAGAAGCAGTCACAGTACAGGAAGCCACTCCCAAAGGCGATAAGGAGGAAGTTAAAATCCATTTTCAAAACAATACACGTTACTTCTGGCCAGGAGCCCCACTGATTAGCCTTCAGTTATGGGATGGGGAAGGGCCATGTCCTTTGACCCCATACTTCATCCCACCATTGCTTTTCCACCTTATTTTTTTGTGTGTGTTAATTTAGGGGAACTGTGGTGAGCATGTTGGCACATTGTATTCCTATACTATAGATACAGTAAAGGCCATATCTTAAGACTAAAAGTGCAATAGAGAAACCAAAGAAACTCAGGAAGAGGGAACACCACCAATAGTCTGTAGCAGTCAGTACTATAATATTCTTGTATAGGGTTGCTAGCGTTCACTTTATGAGTTGTATAGTTTCATATGCAGTTCTGTATTTAATATATATGGGTATGGGCTATTATATTTTGTAATTTTGACAATCACCCCACACTGTCTCAAGCTGTCTTCATGAGCTTTGGCTTAGTGCAGTTATTCTTTCTTATGATGGATCACAAGCCTTCCAGCCTCACCCTGGCTGGTGTGGCTCAGTGGATTAAGTACCAGTCAGCAAACCAAAGGGTTGCTAGTTCAATTCTGAGTCAGGGCACATGCCTATATTTTAGGCCAGGTTCCCCACTAGGGGACATACAAGAGACAGCTACACATTGATGTTTCCCTGTTTTTCTCCCTCTTTTCCCTTCTTTCTTACCATAAATATATAAATAAGTAAGTAAATAAATAAATAAATGTGTGTGTGTTTGAATACACACAGACTTTTTTTAGAAAAGGAAAAAAAAAAGCCTTCTAGCCTGTCACATTGTGTCTGGTTCACAGGGCAGATTCTTCATGGCAGGCCATCAGAAGCCATGGTCAGGAACCTTGTGCAGACCCCAACAGTCTGTCTAGTTGTTTTTAACAGTCAGCATTCTTGCCTATTGAAGGTGTTGCTTTTGCAGAATCCAACCATATAGCCCCCAAGAATTTGACAGAGAAAGCAAGTAAACAAGGTCATAGTATACATTTTATAAAAATAGAATATAAAGGTTTATGAACACAGCAAATTATAAACCAGTTTGTGGGTCTGCAAGAGTGTCAGATGAGAAGACTTCCAAATGCAAGGCTTTTGCTGGAATAAAGTTAAGCAATAACAATTTGATATATTTTTTATTTGTAGTTTAAATGTTTCTAGTGATAATTAGTTGCTTTAGG